TTAACTTTGACCAGCTTCAGTATGCTCTCGCTGCTGCTCAAAGTCCTCCTCACAGGATGATGCTCCCGCATTGCAGCTTGGGTAAGGTCTTTCAAACCTAGCCTTCATCTGACTGCACTACCTTCTTCGACAAGTTCTCTGTGTCCCCCACAAATTTTAAACAAGCCTTCCTAAGGCGTTCTTCCGTTGATGGGTTCTTTCTTGTCAATCTAACAATAAAAGCCAGATTTGGGGAATGTCCAACTAATGCAATAGTCCTCATATTCTCCTCAGTAGCTGTGGATCTCTGGTTGACGGCAAATACCTGACATTAGTCTACATCTGGTTAAACTTCTCAGCACTTTTCTCCCTGAAGTGTTTGCTGTGGATTTCTGCTTTTCTTTGTCTTCACGATGCCGTTTGTTAGAGTAAAGAGAGCTGAACCCAAAAGCATGTAAGCACTATTAACGTTTTTATTTGTAAACCATGCATCGCTGTTGTTTCACTTTATTTTGTGCTTGTCTGCTACATTAAACCCTTATGAAATCAATTTAAGCTGGTGGTCATAATGTGATGAACTATGAAAAAGTTCAAGGGGTATTTTTCCATTGTATTATCTTCTGTGTAAAATCTGTTAAAACACTAATTGGTCATGCGTGAACATTTCTAGTGCACTCGTTTCTTTGCAGTCTTGACTTTTACATTAATACTAGAAGAAATACTTGGTAATGAGTAGAGGTAAAAGTCAAACTAAATGAGGTTGCAGATACAGTAGAGGTGTTCATATTATTTTACTTTGAAAGTATTTGTCCTTTAATGCTCATATTATTATTCTGTGACTGTATCGTTGTACTGGAGCTGAGATAAAGAGTATGTTGTAATGTCTGAAAGCAGCTAGAGGTCCATTACGTAGCTTACGTCCAGACAGGATGATGTCATTAGGAAGAAATCCTAAAAGGATCTGGTCTGAAAGGGGATTCTTTTTTTTTTTATGCAGCTCTGAATACAAAGTTTGTTTAGATTGTCCTGTTTTTTTAAGAGCAAATTTTATCAACTGAGTAGATTAATGTGTAAAACATTGCTGAATAAAAAAAAAGCGAGTCAAGTCGTGTTGTGTTTTGTCTTCATCAATCCATTTTTAGTACCTGCTTAAACCTTACAGGTTCGCATGGGGAACTGGTTCCTCCGGTAATCAATAGACGAAATTTGGAGTACACCCAAGGCACCACCAGTCCATTGTAGAGCAATAGAGAGACACACAACCGTGCCGATACACACATTCAAGACTGCAGACAAGATGGAGAGACCATTAACCTCAAATGGAGGGAGAACAGAGGGAGGAAGCCAAAGGAACCAATGAGATCCCAAACGTGCTCATGACCCCAACTGGGCTCTGAATCCAGGATTTTCTTGCTATGAGATGGAAGCACTAAAAAACAGTTCCCTTGTGCAGCCCTTAACGCAATAAATCAAAGAAAAGAATTGACATTTGCACTTGGTGATGCAAAGAAATGACAAAAGCAACATTGTACAAATGAAACAGATGTGGTGACCTTTGTGATAAACAACTTTAGTTACAAATGAAAAAACAAAAAATCATTGGGTTCATAGTGGTTGCTATGAACCTATAGCAAACATGGGTTCATTGTAATCAAGTACCCAGTTTAATAAGTAATCCAGCTACTCAAAGAGAACCTCCTGTCCTCGCCAACTCCATTGTTTTCTAATTCAAAAACAATGTTTTATTGAAAAAGTTACTTCTAGTCAGTGTCTCCTGTTGTGGCACTGAGACAACTTAGCTTAGCTGTAGTTAAGTAATGACTAGACCGCCTTATTATCACTTTATTTTGCGTTAAGCAAGTATTTATAATTGGATTTCAGGCATAGAGAAGCTGAATGGATGTTACATAAATAATCACTAAAGGCTTATTGCAGTACAGGGAGTTATTTGTTGCATACATAAAGCATGCAGTAGTAATTAAAAAAATGATAGATTTGCATTATATTATGGAACTTTACTGCATACTTATTACTAGTACTATACTGGTTCATGATTTTCATGCACAACAATCCCTCATATTTACAAAAAAAAAAAGATGAAATCCAGTTTATTGAGATGATCAGAAGGAAACCATAACTCAAAAAAACCCCACACTTCTTACAACCAAGGTAGGAAAGGAGTACTGACCCAACACGCTATACCTTAAAGCAGATGGATTTTAAGGTAACTACATTCAGCAGGTGCCGCTGCTGAATGTTAAGAACAGAAAACTGTCCCTATAGTTTGCACAGGCTCACCAAAATTGGACAATTAGAGACTGACAAAAACTTACCTTGCCCCTGAGTCTCTATAGGGGCAGATCTTTGCGTTAAAAACACAGAAAGCTGAATCCATCCTGTCGTGGATCAGTGGCTCAGGCTGCTGGTGATGGTGCAATAGTGAGCGGAATAGGCACCACTTTGTATCAATTGAACATCGTTTAAAGGCCACTGAGTACCTGAATGATGTTACTAACCACATGCATTTATTTAAGACCACACTGTACCCATCTTCCTGCTTCCAACAGCCATCATATTAATATGAAAAAGAAAAACTCTTAGGAATCATTCAGCGACTAAGACATCTCTGAGAGAGAAATGGGACTAGTGGCCAGGTGTGCCTAATAAACTGGCCACCATGTATGCATTTGAAGAGTGAACTTCATTTTGAATTAACTGAGACAATCCATACAGAGAGGTGGGAGAAAAAAGTAAAAGGATGACAGAAAATGATAACTGTGAACTACAAATTTTTCATTTATTTTATTTGATTAATATATACGAGAACAACACTATGTCATAAAATGACTTTATATCTCTTTTTCACAACCGCCGGAAAAACAAGTTTTAGTGTTTGTTGAATTTTCATCTGCATAGTCTAGGGGAACGTCTGTGGTTTAATTCATTAGAACAGAGCAGTGTCCTGTTGAGCATTGTCATTTATCAGTTTTCGCAGACTTGCTGATGTCCGACCCCTCTAATGGCGAAAACTTTCCATCTAGTTAGAGAAACATCGTAAGTAGGAGCTCTGCAAACTCCCACGCAGCTTGAAAAGCAAAGTATGTCACATTTGAGTTATTGTCAGAATGGCGGATGCAGTTTTTGTAGCTGCGTTTAAAAAGATTAAGTTCTGAAGTCACACCGAGCAAACATTAAATTCATTACTCTTCGTCTCTCTTGTGGTTTTCTGGGGTCGTGTTTTCAGTTATCATATTTCATCTACGTCGAGAGAGAGAGAGAGAGTGAAATACGGTGTGATAAATGTGAGATTTGCGCGCAGTCGAGTGCAGAGGAGTTCATAATAAAAAGTTTTATTGTCTGCGACGTTTTTGGTTGTTTGGCTCAGACTCAGTTATCTGACAGTGGCCTTGACAAATAATCCATCGCGCGAATGCTTCAAACTCCGGGTCATTGTCACAGAGGGGAATGCTTGTGTATTTGACGCCGCACCAAAGCTCAAACGCATTAAACAGCAGCTTATATTCTTCGAGTCATGCCAGCAATGAGCCATGACATACTGTAGGTTTGGTTAAATCCCCCATGACTGGAAGCTTTGATGTGACTTTAGATAAGGCTCTGCCAGCTTTTTCCATAGTGTGTTTTTTTTTTCCTGCCTCTAAATATTCCCAACTGTCTCATTAGATTACCCTACTAAAGGACATAATTCACCCAGATTTCTAATAGTTCTACAGAAGCTGGATTGTTGTGGCAATCAGAAGAGTGATTCCCAGGTCATCTAAAGGATTATTTATAATGAAATATTGCCGATCATCCAGACATTAAGCTTAAACCTTTTATCATGATAACTAGAGATATCGAAGGCAAGGCACAACTCTTAACTTTTATACTTAATTTATACATCAGAAATATTTAATCTCGATTGGCATTATAGAAATCTAAGCCGTGTTATGGTTGGTGAGCAATGATGATTTATTATTGCTGATGAACTCCAGGACATTGACATTGAAATGCATCCTTGCTCTTCACCCCAAGCTTTAGCTCCCTCCACTGATTCTCTGACAGATTCACGTATGGACTCTGCCTAGGCAGATCCAGAATGTAAATATTTTTGTAACCTGAGCATTTCTTCACCTCTTTAGTTTTTTGTTTTTGGGTCTTTGTCAAGCTGACTTGAGCAATGCTACACAAGACTGAGTTTCTCTGCAGACTCCTTGGTTGGAGTCCTCTTTCTTCATGATGTCGTTTACTTTAACACCCACGAATTTGAAATCCATGAACACGCTTTTAAGAATACCGTTTATGTGTTGTACTAATAACTAATAAAACATAAATGGTACTCCAAAGGTAGCAGCCACATAGGACTCAATAAGCACACCTTTGAGTGCCCAGTATGCACCAGGTGTACCGTGAATAACTATAACAAATATAATGTTTAATTTGCTTTTGTCGGCAAATATTTGTTTTAATTTACTAGTTCCTAAAAAAAAAATAATCAATTTTTAGTTGGACAAAAGAATGTAAGAAGTAATGATTGATTAAGGTACAACCAGTACTGATGTCACAACATTTCTGTATATTTAAGGCTGGCTGTGTTTTCAGAGAGCAGCGAGGAGTTGTCAGGAGAGATTTAGAAGAAAATAAAGCACCTTCCACTCAGAAAAACCATACTGCATAGTTTAATAGAGTAAGGGGAACAGATTTTCAGTCAGTCTTTGAAGGATGCATTTATAACAGGGAAGAGAATTTATATCAAGGAGAGCAGCGATTTGAGGAAATTGTATAGGGTAAACAAATACATTAAACTATTAAAAATATTAAATATACAATTGTTTTAATATTCCTTTCAGACCCATTTGCTGGGACTAGAGTTTATCCTATATATTTGTATCCCAGGTGCTTTGGGACAACCCAGATATTTTTAATAATTGAGGTTATGTCTCCTTTTGTATATTTTATCCTGCCCAGCATTCTTGAACTAGCATGAAATCCTGCGAGATTTTGTGGGATTTGAGTTTTTAAAAGTAGGTGCCCAAGGTCTGAGAGAGTACGTGGTGGACGTTCAGGGCCTGCTGTTGCAGGTGAGCTTTAAATAGTTTTAATTCATTTATTTTTCGTTTTTGGTTGTAATATGCTTACTGGTACGCCTTTCAGTTTCTAGATGTCTCTAATCTTCAAGAGAATCGGTTTTCTTTGGCTTATAATCGGATTGTTTTGGCGCATGCTAATGCTACCATTAGCATGCTATGTTAAGGCTGATGCCATGTTTGGTTGTTGACCTGTGTCCATTTGAGTTAATTTGTTTAGCATTTTTGTTGATAGATATGTTTATATATTGTCTGATGATGCAATATTTAACATTCAGTTCTATAACATTAATTAAGATGAAGAGTATTTGAACCCTTGTCATAATATTTTGCTATGATAAGCAGTGAAGTGCATCATGTTCATGCATATTTTTTAGCTAATAATTTCATTTTTTCATCAGAAGGAAGTGTGTATGGTATTAATAATGACTTGATGCAGACAAATATTAAGAGGAAAACGACTTAATGTTGGTCATATTTATGCAGGCCAGGTCCCCATTTGATGGAGAGCTACCAATAGGCCTGTGGCCCAAAGAACCCGAAGTTGAGCTGCTGGATCTCCATCTCTGTGGTAGGAAGGATTGTTTTAATTTATCTCTGGGATCAACATTGAAACGTGCTAAAACTGGAACAGTCTTTTTTTTATTCTTGGATTGGCCACTGGATAACAGAACTGGACTATTGGCACTTGTGTGGGATCTGTATTAACATATGGACATTTTTTAAAGAATTTGACCATCAACTTATTGGAAATGCTGTGGTTGATGTCAAATTTAACCAGTTTTGATTATGAAAGTTTATCCTGTATGTATAGTAAATATTTTTTTCCAACTTTAAAACATAAATCTGCACTACTTTTCTGTTCAGTTAAACACAACCCTGATCCTTCCCAGGTTGTATCTCTGCTCTTCTGATAAATAGTCCCTTACTTTGAATACTCATCACCTCTTGAAGTAGAGTGGGAAATTAATATTTGTGTATGTGGCCCAGTATTGATCTTGATAATAATTGCAATATTTAATAAAGTAGATCCTGGACTTGAAAAAACATCATTTGATGGAGCTTTGTGGATTTATGGTCATAATGTAGAATTTTTTTAAGGGTACAATGAAAAGGCAATTAACAAAGTGGAAATTGAGCTTAAAACTTTTAATAATAAATTCTCAAGTTTTTTTTTTTTAAACCAAAAGTTGATTTTTTCTTTTTTTACAGAATATTTTCCTGCATTCATTTTACCTTCTACCTTTACAAGCCTTCGATGGCTGATGCTGAGAGGCATCTCCACAGCATGATGCCACCACTGCCATGCTACTCAGATGGCGGTGTGTGTTTGTGTTGATGTTCACTGTTCGGTGTCTGCAAAGCATGGGGTCTTCTCCCACTGTCAAAAAGCTAAATTGTGCTCTCATCAGAACAAAGAGTTTTCTTCACCTTGACCATGGCGTCTCTCACAGGCTCTTTGGTGAAACTCAAGTCAACCCTTGTTCTGAGTTTTCTTCAGCAGTGGTTTTTTTTCATTGTCCCATAAAGTTTTGGCTGGTGAAGAATCTGGCCAACAGTTTGTCTGCAGAGTCTCTCCCATCTCAGCTGCTGAAGCTTGTAACTCCTTCAGTGTAGTTTGTTTGTGAGGATGGTCTGATTTAGTAATATTACATTTAAACATATTTCATATTCTTCCCTTGATCTCTGTTGAATTGGGTCAGGCACTTTAAAAGGGGGGAATATTTATGCATTCACTTAATTTATGCAGCATATTTTCACTTGTCATTATGCTGGAGAACATCATATAAGTTTTGTTTGTCCAAAAATCCTGATTACATGACTGATTTGTAAAAGGGTCAAACTTTCAAAGGGACAAATACTTTTTATAGGCACTGTATTTCTCTTGACCCTTTCATAAGGACTGTAATAAAGTCTGGCTCCTTGGAAGCAGAATATAAAGAAAATACAGATGACATATGTTTCTTATAACTCATAAAGTCCACATACCGTATCTTCAATACAAATATTTCTCTTTTTGACTTTAATATAGCAATGAAACGGAGGCTTCAGAGATACAGAAAGGCAGAAAGTGTAGTGTTGAGATGTGCCTAACTTTGGGTGTTGTAAACCAGGCATGTATTTTTATAGTTGATCTTCAGACTGAAAAGGAGAAAAAAACAAAAACAAAAAAAAAAACAGAAGAACCTAAGCAAAAAAAAAGTTTCAAACCTGCAAAACTCGCTCGCTTATCAGAACTAATGTAGTGCTGTTTGTAAATGTAGTCCAAACCGATTGAGCAAAATAGACTTCTGCTGCAATGATTGTGCTGCTTCAATGGGCTCTTTGCACCTCAGCTTCCGCGTTCGGGGTAAAGCGGCTCGATTGTTTCCGAT